CCACCAATCAACTGCCTTTCCATGACCACTTCTTGTAAGAATTTCTGGAGCCCTAATTGAAAAAAATCAAATCTTAATATAATTAATATATATATATATATACATACATATGTGTGTTGACAAGTATGCAATGGCTGACTGAGTGCCTTCGTGGGAGTTTACAGGATTAGGGTGCTGAATGCATCCCCAGTTGACACCATGATAACCGATGATGGTTATATCATAAGTTAAATATACCTGGAAGAGGAGATTGAACTAGAGGTCCTGGTAGCATAATTGGCAATGCATTCACACAGCAAGTGGAAGTTGCAGGTTTGAGTCGTGCTCCAGGCCAATTCTTTTCTTCTGGTTTATTCTAAAATTATTTAATAATTTTAATTTTAATTAAATATGAGATGGTGCCTAATGAGGCCTCCCTCTAGAGACAAATTAATTAGTAATTCAAAATTATTATTGCCGATATTTAGCCTGATATTATACAGCAGTTGGTTTAGCTTTATTATAATGTATTGAGTTTCGTGGGATGTTTGTATTACTATTAGAATGATCAATCTGCTTGGTGCTGTCCATTAGACTGTTAAGTCTTGGAGCAAACTTAGCACAATAACAATTGAAAGCTACTGAAAATATACCAAATTAATGACTACATACAAATATTATGTGAAGATCAAGGAGGAAATGGAGATTTATGAATTGACAAAATTGCAGCTAAAATCAACAGTGGCATAGAAAAGCTTATCTGGGAGTTTCCAATGAGTGCACAAGATTGTACTAACATTACTGAAGAGCTGATTGTTGAAGAGAAATTTAGAATTAGAAAATGCAGATATGGAAATAAATCTTTGTGGGTTAGATAGATAAAGATGAACCGGTTCATTTAATTTAAAGAAGCAATGAATGATCACATACTCAGAAGCAGGGAATGAATGCACAAGTTATATGTATTTCAATAGTATTCAAATAATTGTAGTAAAGAAGTTTTATCTTTAAATAAAATCAGGAACACAATTAAAAATAATAATATATTGTTATTTAAAGCAAATATATATATATATAACAGCAATAGCTACCTTTTTTTGTTTTTTCTTTTTTGAAAGGGTCAAAATTGAATTTGAAAGTGAGTCAAATATTTCATTTAAATAATTAAAAACAAAAAAAACCAAATATTTTGTTCAATGGAAGATCTGCTGTTGTTTATTTAATAACTTTTTTTTTATCTGAGGTTGATAATTTTTGGCAATTAAGATTTTTCACAACCCTGCTTTCAGACTATATATACAAAGTTTTGAAATTATCAAATTTATTTTTATAATTTATAAAAACCTAATACAATTCTATGCACAGTAAGTGTTTTGAAACTTATAAAAGTTACCCACATGAATTTTAAGAAAGTATTATCTTGAAATTGTTGTATGGGTCATAGGTTCACCATCACTGGTCTATAACAAGCTTTTCCAATAAACATCTTCTATTTTATGTGTTTTTTTTATAAATTTAGTTTTATGTAATTTAATATATGTTAAACATTAATTATTATTACATTATATTTGAGTTTTAAAAAATTTCAATCCTAGAATTATGACTTTAGATAGGTCTATGTGACTGTGTAGGTATGTGTGATATGTTGAGATTATGATATGTCTTTTTTTGACATTATTTATTTAAACTTTTATTATTATTTATTTAATTTTTTTAGGAAATAGATGCAGGTATGGCACCTGATCTTGGAGCTTTACAAAGACTTCCAAAAATTGTTGGTAATGATAGTCTTGTAAGAGAATTGATCTATAGCTGTTCCAAAGTTTTTTCATCAGAAGCAAAAGAGGTGAATATTTCGTTTTTCTTAAAAATTAATTAAATCAATACTTAAAATATTTAATGATACATTTAAAATAGATATTTTGAAATGCATTCAACTCCATTTTAATTAAAACATAAATCAATAAAAACTAGATACATAAAAGATTTCAGTAATCAGTTATTTATTTGGATAATGATATTAAGATTCATTCAATATGTAAATTTTGATATCAAGTATTGGACAGTAAGAAGTAGATTTTAAAATAGGTTTTGAAATTTACAATCACTAGACTAATGAAGAATGACAGCTGTAAATTCACAATGTAAAGAATTACACATCTGACAGTGAGACTACATAGCAGTCAATTATGCTGGTAGCACTTCTCTAAAATACTATTACTAATGCAAGGACAGCATGACATTGGGTCACAAGTTTGATCAAACTCAGTGAGGTTATAATACATCTCCAATGACTGATATGTACCTACTCAAAATTAAACGAGAAAATTAAAGTTGAAAATTGCAAATCACTTAAACCTTTAGAATTTCTATCATTTACATAGTGACTGGTGGCTTGATGGGGCATGCCAGTTTCATAGTCATGCAGTTGGTGTTTTGAATTCTGTTGGTATCAATGTGAATTTTTTTTTTTTTTTTTTATACAACTATAATTTTTACTTCATTCTTGGTACTTTTTAATATTCATGTACCTATGGGATTTATACATTATATTTACTGCATTTATAATTTACTTGAGAAGACAATAAGTTATAAACAAAATTATCATTATTCAAAACCAATTTCATTAATAAAAAGACAATTTCATTAATAAAAAGACATTTTTATTAATGAAATTGTTTTTGAATAATGATAATTTTCAGTCTGTTCAGTCTGTTTGCTCTTTGGGAGCAAATTTAGTGGATGATAATTGTCATAGAAGCATGTGAAATAATATACATTTCTGCAGTGTGTGCATTGAATAAATGCAGCATTTTTACAATAAGAAAAAAAATTTATACTGGAAAAACAAACTTGATTAATTTGGAGGAGAGTCATGCCTACTATAGCACATTTGAAAATATTGGAGTTCTTAATGTTTTTTCCAACTGCCTTTGCAACTTCCAAAATTGATGAAGAACCTCATCTACAATTAGATCTTAATTTTGAAGATATATATATAAACGGCTTGCTGTATATTATATTACAAATGTAAATTCGTCTCTGTAATCCAAAAACACACTTTGGTAGACATATCTTACAGCAATTTCTGGTTAGCAAATTATCTTTTATTTTTCATTGGACTACAAATTTTGAATTTTAATTTTGAAGGATGCTTTCATAATATGTAAAAACATCCTTTAAATGTAATTTTGCAGTATTTTTGTGCAGTGATAATTCTGCAGAACAAATTTCTATACTATCAATGTTAGCATGAGATATCGAAACCATCTGTGAGAAGCCGGGGGTGAAGGATATTACCTTATACCACTTAATCAGCAATTGTTTCGTAAAAACCACCCACTTGGTCACTGCATGGCTTAGAAAAATGTTTATTAAATATAGGAGACAAGAATTGCGAGATTCGATCTCACGTCAGGACCTGACACCAGCTATTCGTTCCCTAACTGCGATAAAAAGACTTTAATAAATTTAAAATGGAGGGCTTAATTCTACAAGTGGGAGTTTGTGATGGGTACATCGATAGGGTGATTGTTACATATCTTAATTAAATGAACAATCAAATTAATAATAAAATAACAAAAGTTTAATAAAAATAAAAAGAGAATTACAAATAAAAATAACTAATCGTTATAGCTACTCTAATTACTATACCCCTAAATTGAGAGTGTACAATATATTAGATAATAATACCTCAGAATATATGAGTTTCATGGATGAGGCGACAATAAGTTTCATTGAGGAGCGGAAGTTGAGAGATCAGCCAAATTCTATGTCTTGACAAATCACTACATTATGGTTAATCTGCCTGGAATCTGACGTGTTAAACTCTTTTATACTCGAATCCATCTCCAATGAGAAGTTAGACCTTTTGTCATATGACAATGAGTTGGGTTAGTTCAGAGTTTAGTCAAAGGATATGGTCTAAACTTTTAAGTAGTAAAATGTTGAAAAAGGAAACTGTGTTTTCTTATCCTCTTAAAAAATGGGAAAATGTAAAATTTTTGTGATAAAATATTACATCACTTTTTATAGTTTAAAAACTAATGAATATCAAATTCAGATTCTCACACATCTTTTCATTCTTTAGTAAACAAAGATACATTTAGGTTAAACAATGACTGTTGTCAGAGTAAGTACATATTGTACATGAATATACAGAAAATGTTTTGTTCTTAAATAAATATTGTTAGATAACATTTCTTAATTGTGTTTGATATTGACTTGTTACTTAAAATGGGTGGATTTTGTTGTTTCATTTCTCTGTTTATTGTAGATTTATAGTTTTTTAAAAATAAATCAGTTTTTCTCTCTGACAATATAATAAATTAAAAAATACTGAAAATAAAATGAAAATTATACTTTTATAAAAAAAAAAAACATTGACAGGATTCAAGACACCAACAACATGATTATAAAACTAACACTCTCACACCAAGTCACTGGCCATTCTGCAAATAACAGAAATTCTAAAGGTTTTAAGTGACTGTACAATTTTCAACTTTTCTCATTTAATTTTTGTAGTACACCTTACTGCTTGGCACATATTAGTCATTGGGGATGCACTATAAACTCACCAAGTTTGATCAAAATTGGTGACATTAACATCATGCCATTCCCTCTTAACCACTCAGCAGTAAAGGACGGATATATCTGTCCAGGGTGATCGTATGGCAGTGGTAAAGGATGGATATATCTGTTAAATTCTTTTAGGGGTTTTGCCAAAAACTAGTCAAAAACTACCGCAAAAAAAAATTTACCTAAAAAGTGAATTATGTAACAATAAAAAAAGACTTTTCTTTACTAGACATAACTGTTTACAAAATCTTTTTCTGAAACGGTAATGAGAAAAAACGCACGAAAAAAAATACTTTAAAAATTTCCCACATTTATTCTCCACTACTGGGGGTAGAACCATACCTGACTAGTTCACTGTTGAAAGGTTAAGAGTTACATAGGATATTGATGATTACTTAGTGCTGTGCTGGTAACCAATATACCAATTTAAAATTTTTAAAATATCAGTAGTTTAGAATTTAGTATATTGACATAACAAAACCAATAAAATATTGAATATTGGTATTTGTTGTCAATAACTCACTTCTTTGACCATGACAATTCCTTCAGCAGTTTGGACTTTGTACTATAGTGTTAGAATTCTAATGGTTGTTTTTAATACTATAGTACAAACTGTTAACAACTGGGAGAATTGTTATGGTAAAAGAAGTAGAGATGTTTATTGTTGACAATAAATACATATAAGATCCTGCTTAATGCTGATTCATTATAACGTGGTCTGCTCAAAGCCTAAAAAAAGCTCAAAATTTACACCAATTCAAATTATTGCGTCATTTCATTAACTCATTTATAATACGATTATTTATGAACATGAACCAATCAGCAAAAGGCGGCAATTTGTTGTAGCACTGTACTTCCCCTAAATCTATGTTTGTTTGGTGCAATTTTTGAAAAAATATAACATCATGGATGCCATAGGAAATATTGACTTTGCTTGGCAAGAATTAATTGATAAATGCTTGAACAGAGTGTAGAAGTTATGGCTGAAGGTATCCAAGAATTCTCAACGAGAAGAGCCTATCGCTATCTCGTTAGCCTATCACCTTTGTCATAAAAAAACGAACTTTACATTTCTGTGTGCATATGTTTATGTGTTATTTAACATATATTATTATGCAAATTAATATAAAAATAACTTAAAATGAATGTAAAATCTGTTTATTTTTGGTCGCATGTTTCCCTTTTCCTATTTACTCTGTGTTAAAATGACCTCGTTTAACGCTGTTTCGTTTAGCGCTTTATCCTCTAGGAATGTATCCCCTGCATTAAGTGGGGTCTTACTATATTTGGTATTTTATTGGTATTTGGTAAGTCAATATTCAAAAATTTAAAATATTGATATTTGTAAAATTTATTGGTTTTGATTTTATGTATTGCTTATCAACACAGCTCTAGTTCTATCCATAGCTGTGTGGATATTGCATTTAGTCTCTTTTTCATTATATCCTTGCTATGCAGCTACTTTTTTATAGCTTGTTCTGGGTTCCATTTGGTAATTTGAAATGGAAAAAGCTGAAATTGCACATTTTTGTCATTCTTTGTCATTCTCTCATACTGTCATTACCTGACAAGGCTCAAATAGTTTTAGTAAAGTGATTTAACTTCCCCTATGGTAAGGTGTTTTTATATTTAGTTGAAAATAGAAGCTGGGTTAGAATGGGTCATTCTTTAAAACTTTGTAACTAATACTCATGCCCTATTTCCATTATGGATTAAGTTAATCTTAAGTCTTAGTGGAGCTGATGGTGGTACTATTAGGTTGCTTGGAAAGTAATTTTGTTTTTTTTTTTCTGTGGAAAAAACACAATATTTTTATAATAAATAAATATNATATATCTGTTGCACATACCACTGGAGTTTCTACAAAGATAAGATGTTTTTCTGCATTTTACTCTGCGAGTTCTGGAGAATACAGTACATATCACCTAAACATCAGAATGGCCAAAGTTTGTTTATATTGGGTTGCTTGGAAAGTAATTTTGTTTTTTTTTTTCTGTGGAAAAAACACAATATTTTTATAATAAATAAATATTTTATTGAATTATATATCGACTATTTTGATCAAATACCTGTTGCCATCGTTTCTGGTAGTAGCATGATTCCACGTTCATAAAAGTTTTGATCCTTGCTTAGAAAAAACTGATCCAAGTGATTTTTGACATTTTCATTTCAAGTAAATGTCTTAAGTTAAAAAAAATTTATGACCGGAACAAGTAATAATCTGAGGGTGCTCGATCTGGTGAATATGGTTGGTGTGATAGCTAGTCCCATTTAAGTTATAACAGTTTCTGACGAGTTGCCAAACTTGTGTGAAATTTGACATTATCGTGGTAAAACACTACACCTATTTTGTTGATCAATTCTGGCCATATTTTCTGTTTGATGATATTACTGAATTTATTTACTCGATGGCAGTACACTTTCGAATCACTTGTTAAATTGTCTGGTAAAAGCTCCAAAAAAAACTTTCCTCAAAATCCCACCAAAGAGAGCATCTCTCTTTAAGAACACGTGGAACCCATATATCAAGCTTTGAAACAAAACCAATCTGTTTCAAGTAATAATAAACGGTTCAATTTGACAAATTTAATCTCTTATTGATTTTACGTGTTGTTATTCAGCAGTTTGCTTCAATCAGTACCTTTATTTTGTTTTCATTGGCTTCAACTGGCCATCCAGAACGTGGTGTATCTTCAATATTGAAATTGCCAGAACGAAATTTTGTAAACCAGTTTTGGCACTGTCTTTCTCTCAACACATCATCTCCATACATGTACCACAATTGTTTTCTTGCTTGAACAGCATTTTGATTAAAGCAAAATATGCCGAAAATGATGCTTTCGATGTTCCATATTTGATGGGACACTGAAAAAAAAAACAATTACATGAAATCAAACAAAATTGTTTTACAAATAAGTCTTAAAATGTCAGCTATCAAAGTATATAATGACAATTTGGTTTAAAGTGAAATTGGCTGGTAAAAATACATCTAATTCCTCTAGTAAGAAAAAAATGAAATTACTTTCTGAACAATCCAATATTATTTAATGCATGTTTGACTTATAGTAGTGTACCGTACATTGGAAAAATCAACAGTAGTTACACTATTCATTTTCAAAATAATCAGAGAAAAATTTTTGACACTACTCTGTTTATTGATTCTTGTTTCAATTCTGAATCCACTGGTATAAATAAGGTTTTGTTGTCTGTTTTCTCCAAATTCCTCAAGAAAAGATGATTAAAGAACATGGAGGTTTTGTAGAAAGCTATCTTGATTGTTTTAGTGTGCATGCATACTATTTGAAACATTAACAAAATAAGATTGAAGATATTTAGATGAATTACTGTTTTTCTATAATTTTTGTAGCATATTTTTAAGGAAAATAAAGTATTCTTCCTTAAAAATATTTCACTTATTTTTTAATAGCAAAACTATATCTGGTGTATCAGTGTATTTAGAATTTAAAGAATAAATGTATCTAATTATACAGTGAAAATAATATAAATGCTTTGATTGGAAATTAATTTGGTATGATTCAAAAAAATTTTATGTATTGTAACATATTTTTGTCTAGTTTATCCATGTAAAGTATCCCTGAGATAGCTTAATAAATAAATTGTTTTGGGAGTATCTAAAAATTGTGACATACACTATATTGTAATTTGAAAATTATTCTTAAAAATAACAAGAAAAATTTATTATTTTTTTACAATAAAAATAAAATTTAATTATTAAAAATTAGGTAGGACTTGTAAGCAGAGTTTTTCCAACAAAAGAAGCTATGATGACTGCAGCTTTTGAATTAGCTAAAACTATAGCAAAGAAAAGTCCTGTAGCTGTCCAGGGTGCAAAAGTAGCATTGAATTTTTCAAGAGATCACAGTGTTCCAGATGGATTAGATTTTATGGTATGTTGATGTTATCTTTAAATTATTTGTTTATCTTAAATTTTACAATAAATTGAAAATATTCTTCAATTATTAAGTATATTTGTTAAATTAATCTTACACTAAATAATTCTATACTTACTAAACATAACTGAAGAATACAACACAATTTATAGTCTATTGGAAAAACGATGGTAAAGTAAAAAATAAATCAAACTTGACTATTAGCATAATATAGTAAGTTATATTAAATGTATTTACAGAAAGACTACCTTCAAACTAAGCAATTTCTGCAGCTAGACACTTCAGTCTACATTTATATTATTTATTAAAACAGTATAAAAGATCATTCTGCATTATCTCATTGAATATAGTTTTGCAGCACATTTCACCTTTTCTGTGATTTGAATCTGTGATCTTTCAATATAGCATTCATTTTGTAGAGACATGGAAACTTATTTCTATACCAAAATGTAGACTGCAGTAATGAGGTCTGGTGTTAAGGAGGCTGTGAATGTATGTCTAGTGTTTTGCCAGATATCCGCTAACTAAGCAAATGCAATGGGCTGGAATGTTGTCATAATGCAGAACCAGATTTTTGTATGCCAGAGATTAGATCATTTTCATCTTACTGTATTATGGAGGAAAATGAGTATATTAGTGTGTGACTTCTTGTTACTGAGTCTACTATTGGGAACAAACTCATAATGTACAGGACTTTCACATAAAAAATGCTGCAACTAGGTGAAAATGTTGAAATTGCACTAAAGGAACCTTGTTAAGTGGAACCTCGCTTAACGAGCGTAAGTCATTCCAGAATCTTACTTGTAATGCAAAATACTTGTTAAGTGAAACAATTTTTTCCATATAAATTAATGTAAAATACAATAATGCATTCCATACCGAAAAAAATACTCAAATATTTTATGTACAGTATAATGTTTGTTCAAAGATAATTCACGCTCCTTAACAATATATATTGTTAAGGAGCGTGATTATCTTCATTTTTTTTTTAGTGCGGAATAAACCAACCTAGAATGCGAACTTGATTTGCAGAAAACAAAAAAATAAATAAATAAATAAATTGAAATAAATAGTTTATTATTTATGATACATTACTGTACACATCTAATTCTTCTTTACTAGAAAGCTGTCTAGAGACATTTGTTTTTGCCAATGCTTCAAAATTTGGCGAAAATGCAACATAGCATTATCATTAAATAAATTTGTAGCGTGCGTAGCCACTGCCTTATTAGGGTGATGCTTCTCAATGTACAATGCAACAGTTTCCCTGCTTTCAGTATTTTTCTTATTTTGCCAGAAGATTGTTGCATTGCTGTTACCTCCTCCTCTGACAAACTCTCCTCCACAACTTCTTGCTGTGAAACACAATGCAACTTCCTTAAGCGCTTCAGTGGTCAGCTCTTGGCTGTGCTCTTCCAATGTCATTGTTATCCACCTCCAGTCCCATGATCTTCTCCAAAGACACAATCTCATTGACTACAGGGTCCACAGGCACTGTCTCAAAGTCACATTCAACAATGCTCTCTGGCCAAAGCTTCTTCCAGGCAGAAGTGAGGGGTCTCTTGGTAATACCTTCCCATCATCTTGTAGGCTTGGAGGATGAGCATTGTCCATAATAAGCATGACATGGAGTGGGAGATTCATCTCAAGCAAATATTTTTTCACAGAAGGACCAAACACTTCATTCATCCAATCAGTAAAAATGTCATGTGTCACCCAAGCCTTGTTGTTGGACCTCCACATCACATTTAGTTTGCTCTTCTGGACTTTACACTTTTTGAAGGCTCATGGAGTTTCTGAAAGGTAAATAAGCAGTGGTTTAATTTTCAAATCACTATTTGCATTGGCACAAAATAGCAGTGTAAGAAGGTCTTTCCTTGGTTTGAGGCCAGGCAATGCATTCTCCTCTGCTGTTATATAGGTTCGTTTTGGCATCTTTTTCCAGAAGAGACCTGTTTCGTCACAATTAAAAACCTGTTGCAGCAGGTAACCTTCATAATCTATGAGCTTCTTGAAGTTGCTGATGACATTCTTGAAGTTGCTTCAAGAATGTCATCAGAAGTTGATGACATTCTTGAAGTTGCTGATGAGCTTCTTGAAGTTGCTGATGATGATGTAAGGCATGGTGAAGCAGCAAGCTCTGTGTCAGAGCTTGCTGCTTCACCATGCCTTACAATGTCATGGATGCCAGTTCTTCTCTTAACCTTCTTGAACCACTCACAGCTTCCCATAAATACTTCTTCTTTGGCCTTTGATGATCCTGGCATCTTCTTAACAAGGTCAGCAAAAATCACTTTTGCCTTCTCACAAATGATGTTCTCATTAATAGTGTTGCCTTGCAATTGCTTTTCGTTTATTCATATGAGAAGCAACCTTTCAACATTGTCAAGAATACAATACCATTGCTTAGATATTCTTGTCACTCCTTTTGAAGCATCTATCTCCTTAATTTCGTCCTTGTTCTTGAGGATAGTGCAAATCATTGATGTAGACCGACTGTATGTGTGCTAGATCAACCACACTCACACCTTGTTCTCGCTTTTCAATGATTTTACGTTTCATTTCTATGGTTATTTTTATTCTCTTATATTTGGCATTTTCTTATGTGAAATGTCGCTTGTTAAGCGAGGAATTTTTACGATTTGTTTTGCTCATTATGCAAGGTGCTCATTAACTGAGGTTCCACTGTAATGAGAATGGACTGCAAGACTTTGTTAATAAATGGCAAACATTGACAGAAGTGTGAAGCTACAGAAGGTGTTTATTTTGAAGATTGTTTTCTGTAAATATGTATATTATTAATGTAATAAGAATTATATTAAGTTCATTATATTTTTGATTTTGTCATACATTAAAACTGCATTATAAAGATGAATTTCATAATCTTAACAATAGAATGTAATCCATTATTGTATTGTATGATAGCAATGATTTAAAGCAGTGGTTCCCAATTACTTTTTCTTGCGTACCACTTCAAGAAAGAGCTCAAACTTGCATACCCCTTATAGCAGAAATTCATATGAATCCATACTAATATTATAAATTCGAAGGTAATTCTGTATGTCTGTCTGTTACCTTTTCACGTCTAAACCGCTGAAAAGGTTTTAATAAAATATAGCACGAAGATAGCTTACACGTTGGAGATGGACATAGGCTACATTCTACTGCGAGAAAGTATCTTACTCCCATGAGAAAATTCAATATAATGCAGGCAAAACCGTGGGTAGACAGCTAGTGATAAATAAAATAAGTTTTTTTTTACATTTATTACCTTTAAAATACAATTCTAATAATAATGAAAATAACATAAAGTTATTTAATTTTAATGCGACAAATGTGCACGATTTTCTTTGCGCAACTTTGTAAAATCTGGTTGCTTTTTGGTCAGCTTCAGTCTCAAGTCATCTTTGAGTAGAAGTCGGTGATGATTCATGTTGTCACGGCCGAAAATCTGCTCTCGCAGAAGTATGTTGTGCAAAATGGTAGTAAATATTTTATTGCTGCTTCACAATAATAATGATAATTGTACAATTTTTGTTTCTTGCGTAAGAATTTCATTTAGGTATCGTCACAATGCATTTTTTGATGAAATTTCGAGAATATTTTTAGTTATAAATAAACAAATTTGCGCATTCGACATTGTGTTGTAAATTGCCGAATTTTTGATGGTTCACCCATTACACAGGTCTGCAAGTAAAAAACTGCATAGAATTTTTATACATTTTCTTACAGATTTCAACTTGGTAGAAACGAAAAAAATACCAAAAAAATTCCATTTTGTCAATTTTTTTGTTACACTCAACTTTTGTTTGTATTTAGCGTAAAATTCCTAGTTAACTTAAAATTTACTATTCTTTTTTTATTTAAAAAATAGCCTTAAAACGAAGACTTCTCACATTAATTCTATCAATTATAGCTGGACTTGGTAATAAATAAATAAAAATGTTAATGGTTGAAGAGAGTAGTGGTGGGGGAGGTAGGTTAAGTAGTTTTAGCGTTAGGAGGAAGGTTTCATGATTGTATAGAAACGGGTTAAAAGTTGATAGTGAGTAATATTATTGGTGAGGTTGAGCATGTTTTGACATGTTATCTGGGATACTAGGAATAAATATAAACAACCTGCTGTTGGATTAGATTGTGTTTCAACAAGCTAAATAAGTTCAGTATCTCGCTGGCCATCTAATGCCACACTCAGTTTATATCCAGCATTCGAACGCTACTGTGCTTGTATTTTTATTTCTGGAATAAGGCTTGCAGAGGTTGTGTAATTTCTCGCGACAGTTTCTGTTATGTTTATGGTGAATACGCAGTGAAAAGTCAACAAAGAAACATAAGTGAGTTAGTGAAGAAAGTTTAATTTGCATATTTCAAATTGAAACTTGGAGATCGAGACAAAGCAGATTTCTGGAAACAGTAGGAGAAAAGGAAAAAGAGCATGGGACTCTTTCAAGAATGTAGTGCATAAGTTTTTGGGGAATACTAAGGACCCTGACTACAAAACCATTGTACAATGCATGCTGGCAGCAGCGTATGAAGCTCAAGGATGTGAGATGAGCTTAAAAGTTCATTTCTTACACTCCCATATTGACTATTTTCCCGAAAACTCGGGAGACTATAATGAAGAACAGGGTGAAAGATTTCACCAGGATGTTCGTGATATCGAGAGACGTGAAAAGGAAAATGGGATGTCAATATGTTAGCTGACTACTGTTGAATGCTCAATCGAGAAACCAGAGAAGGAAATCAGAAACGAGTTTGGAGAAAGTAAAGGTTTCATTAGAAAAAAGAGTAGACCTAAAATTGTGTATAAATATCAGAAACAATTTGTTGATTAGTTGTAAGAAAATATTTATTACAATGAACTATATATATTATAAGAGTTTTTATCAAAAATTTGTTTTTATTTTGCAAAAAACCTTTACATGATGGGATGTAACGGAAGTTATTTTTAGAATCTGTCATCTTTAAAACATATAATTCAGCAAAAATATTCCATGCAGCTGGAAAAATTTTTTTTTGCAGACCTGTGTTATTTTTTTGATTGCTTCATCTGATGCATTTAAATTTTAAATCGACTGATTTTAGATTGCCATGCATACCCCTTCACGCAATTTCGCGTACCCCCAGGGGTATGCATACCACTAATTGGGAACCACTGGTTTAAAGAATTAACACATTAATACATGAACACATTAATTAATACATTAACACAATAATTAATACATTAACAAAATTAATACACCTTCAGTTCTTTTGGATTGAAAAGGGTGAAAGAGGCTTTTGACCTGGCCTGTATAAGTCATCTAAAATAATGCTTTATTACAACAAAGTAACATGAACAAAAAGTTTCCAAGCATTTCTGTTCATTTTCAAAAATTAAAATATCCACAAATATAAAATTATACTGTATATTAAATTCTGACTTTTTTGAGTACAGTTGTCTTATTTTCTATTCGTATTTTCTGTCTTATTCAAAATTATTGAAGTTACATCTTCAATAATTTTCTTTTAAGTTTTATGGCTATTTTGGTACTTTTGAAACCGTGCTTGTAGTTATTAGTAGTAATTCAAACACAAATAATTTTCGTATTTATCTTCAGGCACTTGGCAATACTCATCATCAAGTTTTATTCAGTTGATACGTGTTGTTATTACACACGTTTTGGACATTTATTGCCCCTCTTCANATAAGAAAAATTTTAAAGTGTTTAGATTTTATAACAACGAAAAACAGATAATTAGGTACGTACTTCATTGTAAATTTGTCATGTAAATCCACATAAAAAATAAGGTTTTAAAATATTTTAGATAACAAAAACCGTATGTTTTCTTAGATAAAAGTGTGTTAAGCGCCAAGAAATTTTTGTAACAACCAGTAAACATAAGCGATGAAACTTGTGGTTTTTTAATATCTTGATAACCTGTAATTAAAAAGGTATGCTTTTAGAAAAACAATACCTAATATGTTTGTTGTAATTTTATAGTGTTGAACTTTTGTTTTTAGTTGGCTGAAGAGGGGCAATAAATGTCCGAAACATGTGTAATAACAACACGTATCAACTGAATAAAACTTGATGATGAGTATTGCCAAGTGCCTGAAGATAAATACGATAATTATTTGTGTTTGAATTACTTTTATGGCTATATTTTATTGATTGGTGATACAGAAATATTTAAATTATGGAATTTTCAAGTGGAATTCATCTAGATCCTAATAAAATTTAAATTTATATTATATAGAATATTTTTCTTATAAAACTAGCCAGAATTCATTAAATATTTAGTTTGATCAGAATTTGACTTGCCATTTAGTTTCATGTCACTTATTATAATTTTGAATCTTATTTGAATTGCTAAAAAACAAATTTTCAAGGAGTCCACAGATTGTTTTTATTTACAAATTAAGCTTTTCTTGGAATATTAACTCTCATGTTTAAATTTTGAAATTACAAAAATCAATTTTAGAAAAACACTGTTCTAATCTATGTAACAGGAAAATCCAATTATGGGAGCTAATATTCTGAAAAATGTTTAATTTGTAAATAACATTCTGTGGACTCCTTGAAAATATTTTTTGCAGCAATGTTCTTCAAGTTATTTCCAATAATAATAATTACATAGCAAAATACAATAAAATTTATCTGAATAACAATAGCAAAAAAACTAAAAATTGTTTTGTTACATTGGAGAGGGCAGAAAATAAAATTGTCTTCATTTTTCATATATTGTGAGGTTAAATTTTCTGTTTCAGATCTGTAATATCTAACATTTAATTTTTTAAAGTTGTTTTAGAGAATTTTTAAATTAAATTTATTAATTAAAAAAATTATTTTCCAAAGTATCTTTTTTATCAAGTAAATATTTCAGTTCAGATTAAAAATGTTATATTCTTTAAATAAACTTAATTAAACAAATTTGCTAAACTTTGTTTAATTTTAATTTAAAACTATTTTTCTCAGACTTTTTGGAACATGACCATGCTTCAAAGTGAAGATGTTTTGAAATCAGCTCACGCATTAATTACTAAAGCTGAACAACCCCCAAAATATTCAAAACTTTAAACTTGAAAGGCTACAAGATGAAAGATGATGATCACAGAATGTCTGTTAATTTTTATGACCTATTTTTTATATTATGGAATAAAAAGTAATGGTTCTAACAATGTATTATGCTATAATTGATTATTACCATAAGTAGTCAGTACATTTGTAAAAACAAAAAAATATTTTTTATACTTGTTAATCAATTTGTATTTTTCAATTTGAAATTTTTAAATAAATTTTATGAATAATTCAAAAGTTTCTTTTATTTCAACTAATTATTAAATTTAATGTAATAAAATTTTGAGTTATAAAGTTTTTGTTAATAAGTTAATTTATGGAAATTTTATAACAGTTTGTTTTCATACAGTGATACTTATATATTAAATAATAATGAGTACTAATAATCCCATAACATTATGATCATAGAAGTTATCAGATTCTAAATCAAGCCTTATAAAAATATAATAATCATTTATTATAATTAAAAATTCAGTTTTTGCTATCACTTTATTACACTTGATCTCTTTCTGTCCATATCAAGCAATGATAAATTATCAATAATTTGCAAATAACTAACATTTAATAGCATGCTGTTATCAACACTAAAAATTTTTCATGTGAATTAGGCATTTCACAAGATAATATCTAGAATAGTTTCAGGAAAACTAGAGCAAATCAACAAATATTGATAGCCAAGGGGTCAGTCCACTGGTCTGGAGGATCCAGGATTAGATTTGGGTAGTGCAACCCAGGAATATTTTATGAATGGTAACTCCCAGATATGTTGAGCCCTGTCCCTCAACATCCAGTTGCTCCCATTGTGGAACCGATTGAATCCACAATGAGTATTGAAAAAGGCCTTATTGTCCACAGAACAGAAAAAGCTAAAAATGGAAAAAAACATCCGCCATCATAACTAATATTTTTATATCGATATGATGCCCGATTTGCCGCAGTGAGTAGACTTATTTCATAAATGGCCCACCGGTGGTCGAGACGATAAAGCCTCTGAAGACATTGAGTGAGGCACAAACCCATTAATTATGGATTTTTGCATCATCAAAGGACTGACTGCATGGAGTTTTCTGGGTTTTCTTCATGTGTCTAACACCGAAATAGGGGCCAGTTTTCCATAGAAATTCTCCTCTGTAGTCTCTCTTTGAAAGATAGCCGATACAGTGATTGCCTTATGAAATCCTACAATTCTAACATTTCATAAACGAGGTAAGTTACTGTGTTGTACAATCATAAGAACAAAGCATCTCCAAGATTTTGAGGATAAGTGTGCTACTCAAGGCTGATTCGGAGACAGCAAGGCATGTGCCGCACCGTTTTTGGAGAATGTTACTTCAATTATCTTAGAATGACGTTAGTTACCTAACTTTTTACGTCATTCTTTTTTCAGTAGCTTTTTAAAATTGTTAAAGGGAAGATACTGATAGAAAAAGGATAATTTATAGATTGATTATATATTATGCGAATTACAGCATGGTTTTATACTCGGTGTGATTTCAAAATGGGGAATAGATCTGTTTTAATAGGGTGACCAGATGTCCCCGTTTTTGCCAGTTATTTAATTGTTCTAGATCCCATTTTCACTGGTTTGGAATGTGTCCCGATTTGATTGTAAATGCCTACTTTTCGGAGTACATGAATCAATGATTATAGATAAAAACAAAAAATGGTATGCTTCCGAATTTTTATTAGTTTTGTTCTTTTTTGCATAATTTTTAATTTAACTTACTCTGTTGCCGGGTTGGGGGAAAATACTCGAAAACCGCCGCCTTGTATTTTTTTTAATGCAATAGTTGATAAATAATATTTTATTCAATAATTATTGAATAAAGTGTGTCGTGATGAATATAATTTTGTTAAGGATTCTTTATTAATAGCTACAGTTTTCTAATTTACACTTTTAATATTATTTCAACATGTTTATGTTGTTTTCCGATTAAACTTTAATTATGAAACAAATCGATTCACCTATGGTAATTTTTTGTTTATAACTGTTTTTTACAAGAATTTTACATATAAAAATAATTTTTTTCTATTGGAATTATTTAACATAAAAGTAGTTACATGTAGGCTATGTTTATATTTAATGTTACTATTTTTAAATATAATTAGTAGAACCGCAAGAGCAGTTTTCATTTCTTATTAAATGCAAATTTTCGTAGATGCAACACAAAGTACAAAACATTAATTGAGCTGCAATTTGAAAAAAATTATAGACATAAATTTTCACTGTCGTTCGTCCATTTGTCTTTCTTTAATCTCGAGAACGGAGTTAGATGAAAAACAAGACCAGATATGGAAATTTTAGGGTCAGGAGGTCCCGATTAACTGTATACAAACTTCCGATGCAAAGCGGAAGTCATGTTATTTCAATTTAAAATTTTCTCCTGAAAGGTGTTACATAGTTGACCGGCACGACTCTATAGTTAAAGGAAAAATATGTTCAGGGGCAAGCCACTACTAATTTGAGATGAAGAGCATATATTTTAAATTAAATACATTAAAAATTGCAGCCAAGCATTGTGACGATGTCACAATAAATAATTGTTCGTTTACTGTTTTATTATTTTGCATTCGTAATTTATATTTGTTTTTGTTTTTCGAATGGATATATCAAACAGTAAAGTAGACATATGCAAATATATGGGACATTGAAACAACAAAAATACCATAGAAGAATATAGGCCTACTCAATATTATTTGACGTGTCTAAAGGCCAATAGAGTATATTTAATTTAAATTCTGGCGTCATAAAATTTAAAAATCGAAATGGACTAATTCTGAGTAAACTCAAATTTTACATTTAAAATATTTTTATTAAGATAAACTTTTGTTATTCTTGACTATGTAAAGCAAGGTTTCCCAATGGAGTCAATGAAAGTTTGAAAAGGGTCGATGTGCAAATTAAATACATATTGTATAGGTATATATAATATTTTAATATTGTTTGATGATTTAATAATTATAATCATTTAAAAATTCTTGAAAATATTTACTATTATTTTCAAAATTTTACAAATACAGAAAAATGTATTTAAAAAATAAAATATATATTTATTTAAGGGGTTGGATGGAAAAAAATTTCTCGAAAGGGTTCGATACACAAAAAAGGTTGGAAACCCCTGATGTAAAATATAGTAATTTATTACATAGAATACTTTTATTACATATTTAAAAAATAGTCTTTCTGGATATAAATTTTATATTTAAAATTGTAAGTATCGCCATTATGCTTGGCACTGTCATAAATTTATAACATTTTATTATACTTGATGAAGTTGTAATTTTAATTTCTAACTGAATTGAGTATCGAATTCGTAGTTCACATTGAATTGCCTGGAAAACTATTTGATCACTTTCAAGTATTTTTCTGCTAAAAATTTTTATATCAGTGACTTTAAGTGCCAAAACAGGATGAAGATACTTATACAGAAATGAATTTTATTTTGGTAATTTAGCGAAAACTCGAGCGGGTGCACCACTACCATTTCTAAGTTTAACAGGCATTGCATATAAAATAGCGCCCGTAACAGGTAATTTATCAACATTAGCTATATTTTCAATTCCATAAATGTTAGCACCTTGCAATATAACGTGAGCCTCGAATATATTAGTAGGCATTTCATCTTGAGATAAGGTTTCTACCCCTACTCCATAAATTTTTGTATTGGCAACTAACCAAGACGCTGCCTGAGGCGATATTCCTGGGACCTTTTTGTGTGGTTCACTGCCATTTACATATTTTTCATTATCGTTCCAAAATTTTCCCCAGCCGGTCTTCAGAATCAAGATACTTCCATCCGGTATTTTTCCATGAATACTTTCCCACTTTTCTAAATCTTCTGGCATTAAGTTTGATATTGATCCATCGGTAAATTTACTGGTGATATCTACTACTACTGCTGGAGCTATTAGACGTTCTAAAGGAATTTCATTAATGCACCATTTACCTAGAGCAAAATGGCACGGTGCATCCATATGAGTTCCAACATGAACGCAAGTAGTTATATCTTCCAGCTGGAGCCTAGAAAATTATAATAATAAATCAATTAAATTTGGATGATTTATGTCATATAATATATATATATATACATCCCCTAATTATTACATAAAGAATTTTCATAAAATAATAAAATATATATATTACTTGTAGAAATTGATAATAATCACTATAGCCTGTATGACAGACAATTCCATGGCCCAGCAGTTAAGGTGATAGCCTACTACTTTGGGGGACTCGGGATCGAATCCGGACGAGTCGAAAAACCCTAGGAAATTTTCGGGGATGGTCTGTCCTGGATATGTCGGCCCCGTCCCTAACTACCCGACCACCTCGTGTGGGACTGGCCGGACTTACTAAAACGCCGTCTTAGTGTTCCAGGTCAGAAAGAGTTAAAAAAGGTCGCTATTCCCTAATGTGTTGCAGTCTTTTCGAATTTATAATGGGGTGCTACTAAAATAGATCTTAACAGACGTTTCAGATAAGGCAACTTAAAAGTACTTTAAGGCTTTAAATTATAGACTACTTTTTATAAGAAATGAAACTTTCGTACCAATAACCCTCTGGTTCGGTGCCATTATATATCATTTTGACACTCAACGGAGTAATTCCTGGATATATTGGCACTTTTTCGTGTAAATTGTAAGTCATATCCAAATATCCTTCCAACGCATGACATATGAAAATAACGGTGAAAAAATGCATAAACTTCAACAGATACATCATCCTCGATTTTATGTTTTCTGTAAAAAAAAGAAAAAAATATATTTTAGAATATAAAGAAAAATTTTAATAATTGAAACAGATATTAAAATTTTAATTTGTTTATTACATAAAAAGTTTCTAAAATAAATCTAAAAGTGATTATGAAAACATAATTAGATGTCATAATTTAATGACGAATTAAATTAATTAAAATAAGAAATTCATGTAAATTAATCCAACTGTTTAAAGTATAATACAGTGGTACCTCAGGTTACGAACGCCCCAGCATACGAAATTTTCAGGATACGACATGAAATTCGAACATATTTTTGCTCCACGATACGAACAAAAACTCNTATAAATATCAGAAACAATTTGTTGATTAGTTGTAAGAAAATATTTATTACAATGAACTATATATATTATAAGAGTTTTTATCAAAAATTTGTTTTTATTTTGCAAAAAACCTTTACATGATGGGATGTAACGGAAGTTATTTTTAGAATCTGTCATCTTTAAAACATATAATTCAGCAAAAATATTCCATGCAGCTGGAAAAATTTTTTTTTGCAGACCTGTGTTATTTTTTTGATTGCTTCATCTGATGCATTTAAATTTTAAATCGACTGATTTTAGATTGCCATGCATACCCCTTCACGCAATTTCGCGTACCCCCAGGGGTATGCATACCACTAATTGGGAACCACTGGTTTAAAGAATTAACACATTAATACATGAACACATTAATTAATACATTAACACAATAATTAATACATTAACAAAATTAATACACCTTCAGTTCTTTTGGATTGAAAAGGGTGAAAGAGGCTTTTGACCTGGCCTGTATAAGTCATCTAAAATAATGCTTTATTACAACAAAGTAACATGAACAAAAAGTTTCCAAGCATTTCTGTTCATTTTCAAAAATTAAAATATCCACAAATATAAAATTATACTGTATATTAAATTCTGACTTTTTTGAGTACAGTTGTCTTATTTTCTATTCGTATTTTCTGTCTTATTCAAAATTATTGAAGTTACATCTTCAATAATTTTCTTTTAAGTTTTATGGCTATTTTGGTACTTTTGAAACCGTGCTTGTAGTTATTAGTAGTAATTCAAACACAAATAATTTTCGTATTTATCTTCAGGCACTTGGCAATACTCATCATCAAGTTTTATTCAGTTGATACGTGTTGTTATTACACACGTTTCGGGCATTTATTGCCCCTCTTCAGCCAACTAAAAACAAAAGTTCAACACTATAAAATTACAACAAACATATTAGGTATTGTTTTTCTAAAAGCATACCTTTTTAATTACAGGTTATCAAGATATTAAAAACCACAGGTTTGTTGTAATTTTATAGTGTTGAACTTTTGTTTTTAGTTGGCTGAAGAGGGGCAATAAATGCCCGAAACGTGTGTAATAACAACACGTATCAACTGAATAAAACTTGATGATAAGTATTGCCAAGTGCCTGAAGATAAATACGATAATTATTTGTGTTTGAATTACTACTAATAACTACAAGCACGGTTTCAAAAGTACCA